TTTATGAATTCTTTTTGCGAAAATATCACATAGCGCGTAAATTGCAGTGTAATAAGATATCGATGGTAATGATACGCGTGCAGAACTATCTAAATAAACCAATACGTGATGAGAGAGGCTTCAATGATACAAGATAATTAAATTTATTCATTGAATCTCGGGAAAACTACACAAATGATGATGAGTCTAAAATACTTATATAATATGAAAAACATTGTGATATAATAAATAAGATTATATGTATTAATTATAAATATAAATTACGTATTACAATAATGTTTCTTTACTTCAAACATAATTAAACAAATTAAATTTTATAGTAAAGGAGAAAAACTATTTTCCAATTTCAGAAAATTATTGGCGAAAAGAATATATTTTTAACAACATCGAATGTTATTTTTGTTATTTGTTCCACAATTCTTTAAAAAAAATCACCTTTTTTGATGATTTCAATAATTTTTTTAAAGTATTCTTTTTGAATTATAACAATTTTGACATTTTTTAAAATGAAATTAAATCAGTTTATACTTGATACATACGATATTTTTATTTTTGAAATTAAGATAGTTCACACTTTTAATGATATTGATGGGATAATCTTTACTTAAGTAACTCGTATATGTTCAGGAAAAATGTTAAAAAAAAATATTAGTTGATTCAACTGAATACAGCGGTCAAACAAATTTTTGTTAATTCAAACAAATAACATGTTTTAAATTACAAAATTTTGTTGATATGACTGTATATTTAACTAAATATACATATTAATGAACTTGAACTTGACTAAATGCATTTAGTCAAGTTAACAACTTTTCTCTTTTTGTGATAATGACTCAAAAATCACATTTTTTCGTTATCACTTTTGAAATAAGGAAGCATACATATCTAATTATAATATTTATCATCTTTAACACAAAAATCGCACATTGATCCGCATAGATAGATATATAAAGAAAGATTCTCGATTAACATTATATATATATATATGAACAGAGTTGATCCCTTTCTTCGCCGATATAGTTAGCCTCCTAACTTCTAAATATACTGCTCATCGCTGCGCCGGAATGAACTGCTCTTAATAACACAATCTTACTTCTCGCAACAAGATTACCTCGATAGGTATCCGCTGTAGTTTTAGAAACAATTACCGATCTTTGATATTGCACTAAATATTTCATCGTTGCAGCACGCTGTTAAAGGCTAGCTTCGAGAGTACTTAATCGTCCGTTGAGTTGGGGCTTACACGAAACTTACGATGCACAGAACTAGATTATAGTTAGTCTCGTAAATGTAAATCCTTAACGAGTTGCTAGATAGAACGAAATAAAAACTTCCTGCTGACCTAGATACGAAGTTACGATACTTGAGCTAATTCTCGGGCTTTGCTCTTATCATCTTGGTGGTCGTAGACAAGCATTGTTTATCAGGGCGATGTCAGTTTTATCGCGGAGCATGATATTCTCGAATATCCCCGCGCAATCAAGTCCCTTCTTCCTCCCCCTCCTTCTCCTCCTCCTCCTCCTCCTCCTCCTCCTCCTCCTCCTCCTCTTCATCTTTCCTTCCTTCTTTTCGTGTCGATCTCGTTTTATCCTCTTCACAACTTTCTTCCTACGGCGATATCCCCGGAGCCAAAAAACGCCCCTATTCTAGAGCGTCCGTTGCTAGGTAGGAAAAAAAAAGGGACGCCCGATTTCCCGGAGAAAATGACGCGCTCCGCCATACGGGATATTACTTGCCGCGGATGTTAACGTCCGTTGCATTTTTTTGCGGACGCGACGGGATGGGTGGTCGCGGGGGGAGGCGTGGGAAGAGGGGGAGGGGGAAGGGGGTAGGAGGCGGCCCAGCGGCGGCTTTGGACGTGGTATAGCTGTGCCAGATAGCGGGATGCTGTAAATCTGTGCATTATACATGACAGTGAGATCAGCGCCATTTGTTATTCCCCGATGGTGCGCGGAAAAAGAGACGTGAAAAATTACCGGAGGGCGCGGCAAGCACTTACTGAAACGAGGATATTTGGGAAATTTTCTGGATAGCGGAGGAGAGGAGAGAGGACTTGGCAGAAATCTCGCGATGCGGGGATCGAAATTATCGTTGGCGCAATGCGTAATATCCCGCCCTCTGATGCACGCGCGTACCCCGTTTCGATTCGTGCGCTCTCTGGCATGGGTTAACGATCGCAAATTGTTGTTAGTTCGCGGCTATGTGTAACGTTTCCGGGGTACCTCTCAGCGAGCGTGTTTTCCACGTACAGGGTACTTTTGCGTCCGATTACGGGGCTACATACATTATATGAAGCACTCGCGGTTAATTTGATAGGCTAATCTAGTATCGATTTTCAATCGACGGTCAAGTTATGCGTGTGTTAGACGGGAATTTCAGAACCAATTGCGAAAGCACTTTGTTTTTCGTTTTAGATAATATCCATTCAATGAAAAATAGACTATTCGTAAAGAGCGTTTTTCCCATCATTGATCCATCTAAAGATTATTTCAGTTAATCGCACGTTATCAGTCATATTTGCGAAAAATATGAAAGATCAATTATATATTTAACATTTATTTCTGTCTGATATATAAGACATATCAGACAGAAAAAAATATATATTTATAAGATATATATATATATATTTTAAATTATTTGAGACTATATAAATTCCCTAATGCTTGAAATGAAAATTACAACATTGTACCTTTATAAGAGTTATAACGAAATATTAATGGCCCCGGCATTGTTTATCTTGTCACCTAGTAAATTTTAGGTCTTAATTCTATCGCAGTAGACCAAGCACGCTGTGCTTTCACGTGAAATACGAACTCGTCGAATTGCTTGTTTTGCGGATAAATTTACTAAGGGAGGATGCACCATGCCCTAAGAAATAAACGCGCCGTTGGCAAACGTATCGTTTTCTTGTTACTCCCAACTTTCTTTGAAGGATAGTTCCACTTGTTTCTTCGTCTGAGGATAATACGAGAAAAATATATATATTGATATAAAATAATGCGAAGAAGCAGAAAAAGTAATATTAATATATTTAAAAAATATACAATAAATTTACATAATAAAATTAATTTAAATATAATTAACATAACTTAAAAAAAAGTGTAACGTTGAAATAGGCGATATTGCGCGATATTTTTTTCAAGTGAATGGTTTTTATCGATCGTTTAGTCGAATGATATTATTTTAACTCGAATTTAATTTTTTATGAAATAATATTATCTGAAACACTTGAATTTCACCTTTTCATCTTTCACACGCGAACGCGTTCTAGACAGTTGGCGATAATTTGTACTAATCAACCTGATTGCTCTATCTATGGCGACAGGTGACGATCGTGTCAAAAACACCAGGTGAAAAGCAGCCAGGTGAAAACATTGAAAATCGCGCACGCTTGGTGAGATTCGTTGTCGATTTAATTAGCCGAGTGCAGTAAATTTAGTCGAGATGTATGAGCGCAAATTTAATATTCACTCCTCTTTCACAGCCAGTTGTATTATTTTCCTCTTTTTGTCACGAGTGGGTGGCGTTATTTACCCTCCGCGTGACACGAAAAGAAAAAAAAAAAAAAAAAAAAAAAAAAATAAAAGAAGTTGACGTACAAACTGCGCCGTGTCGGACATGTCCCGGGAGGAGTCGGCGATGCAGGCAGCGCGAAATCTGAACGCGAATGAGCGTGCAGGTGTCCGTAAATAAACTTGCATCGAGCTTGTGCGGCAAACCGGCGAACGTAAAAGGTAGTTACGCTTTCGCCGAGTTTACCCGGCGTTCACAAAGGTCTTTCAGCTAACGATGGGTTTTATTCGAAACATTTACCGCAGCTTCATGATACAGGGCTATATCGTTCGTATAATCACACCGCGGTATGTAGTGTGTAAAGCGCGAAGAATGTTTCCGCGTTTGCGCGAACAAACACGATAGGATGTAATAAATGTTTTCTAATTGCCCGGATATACGGCTGAAACCGCGTGTGCTCGTGTTTCAATGTATTTTGGTTTGATTTATGCCCCTTTAAATTCTCGCACAATTAAATTATTTCACATTATCGCGATCTCATTGATTTTAATGACAGTACTACATCAGTTCGGTTAAAGAAGTGGAATTTTGATAAAGTATTTCGAAATGCGAAATTAACACGCAATTAATATCGTTAAACTGTCTATCATTAAAGAGATAATTGGAACAGCGTGGATGGTACAGCAATTTCTATTACGCTTTGAGGTGTAAGTCTATAATAAATACATATAGGCGTATAAATGTCATGATATTCAAATAAATTCTTATTGTAATGAATAATATTTCGTTTCCACAATTATAGTTTCCCTGATTTTTTAAAATGTAAGTGATAAAAACTGATGAATTATTTTTCGAAGAATCTTCAGGCATTATAGAGAAATATCAAACTCTTATATTTTATATAGAGTGCCATATGAAATGTCATACTGTTTAATTATATGATTTTCCAGACTTCGGTAATTCTATATTAGTTCTGTATCAATTCTGTTAAAGATAAATGTGTTACATATAAAATAAATGGCACGAAATTTTGTGTCATTCTGTATCAATTATTAAATAGTACAGCATAGCCGAACTCTTTATAATGTTAAGCTGTCCATCCGTCTGATTGTTCATCTGTTACATTTCTTAAAAATGATTTAACTTTTTCGATTTCTGTTTTCGGTAATAGATGTATCCAAGAATCTTAGGTTCACTGAGACAAAATATAATAAATTAGTTAATCATGAGAATGTCAAGGTCAAATTTAACAAAGTTTTCCAATTATTAAGTTTTCGCTGTATTACTTAGTTGTACCTGTTGCGAAGGATTTATTTTATTATTTTAATAACTTGTCTGTAGAATTTTTCTTATTTTCTGGCGACACTCTTATTTTCTGCTTGAGTATTTTTTAATATTCATATCTATTCATCGACGATAATCAAATAACTTCGTAATTCATTTCTATCGCAGGGCAGTTCCAGTCCGAGAGAAGAAGTTCATATGGAATGGCATCACGAGGGTCGTCGTCGCCGTCGACGCTGCCGATCGCGATAGCGATGGCCGCCGTGATGACAGTAGTGGCTAGTGGCCTTTGCCCGGCACGATGTCGATGCGACGACGAGAGCTTACGGGTTTCGTGTGCCTACGCTGGTCTCGAGGTCGTGCCGATCCAGTTGAATCCGGAGATTCGCCACTTGGACCTGTCGAACAATCGCGTGACTAATGTGCACCTCACTTTCGGTTTCTACGGAAATCTAGAAAGCCTCGATCTAAGCTCGAATCTCCTTCACACGTTGGGCTTGACGAATTTCGGTATGCAGCAGAATCTGATTACGCTTAACATCAGTAGCAATATGATCCACACTTTGGCGAGGAATGCTCTAGACGGACTGACGTCTTTGAAAGAATTGAACTTGGCCAGCAACAATATCTCGGAGATATCCGAACAAGCGTTCAAGTCCATCAGCGAGTTGGAAGTGTTGGATCTAAGTGACAATTCGATCACGAGTCTATCCGATGAGTTGTTAAAAAACCTGCATAAGATACGGACTCTGATTCTGAACAAGAATTCGCTATTAGAAGTGCCGACGAACAATCTGGCTCTGGCGCCAAGTCTCGAGCGTGTAGATTTGTCGGATAACTTGATACTGGAGCTCGACCGAGATTCATTGCCATCATTACCATCGTTAATCTCCTTAAATCTGTCGAACAACGTCATCAGGTACATCGCCGACGTTGCATTTGATCGTTTGCCGGATCTCCGGTATCTCGACTTATCCGGGAACAATCTGACTTCCGTGCCTACGGCCGCTCTGGCCAGATTGAATGTTTTGACAGGTCTCGTTTTAAGTACGAATCCTCTCGGATATTTGGAGGCCGTAGCCTTTCGCAATTTGTTCGAGTTGAGAATCTTGGACCTGAATGACTGCATGATCGCAAACGTGAACGCGCGGGCCTTCGCCGATAACGTGAATCTCGAGCGCATCTCGATGGATGGCAATCGGGAATTGAAGGAGTTGCCAGCGCGAGTTCTTTATGGAGCTCGGTACCTCAAGTGGGTCTCGTTACGTCGATGCAGTTTGGCGACCCTACAGCCGACGCAGTTTCCTGTGGACGGACTGTCACATCTACGAGTTGGCGGCAATCCTTTGGTGTGCAACTGCTCAGTGCATTGGCTGTGGAACGTGATTCGTGCCGAGGAACGTCGGAATGAGACACGACTCGAACTGGACACCCACGACATCGTCTGCAGCGATGAGGAATTCGCTGGCAGAGCGCTGATCGCACTTTCCGAGGGTTCTCTGCGGTGCCGCCTGAGTCCCCTGTATCTATCGCTATCGGCCGCTGGTTGTTTCTTGGCGGCCGCGGCCGTGCTCATCCTGATCGCTCGGTTAACTCGTGCGAAGAGGAAGAGACAGTCACTGGCATACGCGGCGCCGAATCGTCCCGAGTTTCTGGTCTACGTCGGTAGAGGTGACAACGGGCTGGATAAAAGCGCCGAGTCGTACAGCCGCCGATTGTTGGCCAGAAACAACGAGGACATTTCGTACGATTCACCGCGCGGCAAAGTGGCGGCTGCGATGGCGGCAACGACGACAGATTATAGTCCGCAATCGCGGGAAACGAACATCTACGAGACGCCGCGATATCCTGGACGTCGCGACGCCGTCGAATCTACGTTGCAGGGCAAGCAACCTCCAGTGGAGGAAGGGGTGTACGCAGTAGCGGACGTCACAGATCTGCGGGATGAGCCTCCAGAAGTGCTATCGCTTTATCGTGCACGTAGTCCTCCCGTCGCCAGATCGAATGCTCTACGACGGTTGGATTACAGTTACGATTACGAGTACGATTACGATTACGGGCCGACGGCACCGCCATCGCCGCCGCCATCGCCACCACCACCGCTATCCGAGAAACCGCATGTCGTCTTTGTATGAGAAGAGTTGAGCGGTGGGAGGTCGTAAGCTGGTGGGTCCAGTTGTGGCGATAATCAGCGAATCTGGACAATAGTCTAGTCGTTAGGCGGAACCAGATACGCCGTCGACTCCGTATCACGGGCCTTTAACTATCCGAAACTCTCGAGAAACTTTCTCGAGATTATTGCCTCAACGCGACGTCTTGATACTTGAGGCGTTGCGCCGTGTATGTGTCGAGAGGACCAGTGTGTACTGGGACTTGGAGTGGCCGCGAGAATGGTACGAGAAAATATGAAAGATTTTACACCACACTTCGAATCGCCATTCGACCGTTAAGTTTACGCGACATACAATATTGTTTGGAAACGATTGCATCGATTCTATCCGTGTTAACTTTCGTTATCGGTCACCCTATGTCTCATTGCATACGAGAACCAACGAACTGCAGATGCATTTCAGCACGGCTAAACGTTTGAGCAACGGTAATGTTCGTTCGCACGGATGGGCACGGAGAGAGAAGAGAAAGAAAAAGAAGATAAAAAGAACGACATCCTGTGTTCCAGACAGTTTGTACCGCGGTAAGATGCAAGAGTGGCGTCGAGATTGTGGGTGGACATTACTTTCCACTTGGTGTTGGAAGAATGATCGATACCGCCGTCGTTGTGTCATCGTCGTTGTGTCGTCGACGCCGTTGTCGCCGTCGTTGGAAAAGCGATTTATCCAAAATTCTGTTGCTCGAACGAGAACGGGTGGTGCTTTTGGCTCGTAAGAAACCGGCGGGATTACGACGTGCAACACGCTGAAATTATCCCCCCAGGACAAACAGAAGCAACCGTGGACGAGTGAAAATGAAATGTCTTCCGAGATAGTTGTGTCGCTGCTAGAGAGAAAGAGAGTGTGTGTATGCGTGTGTGTGCGTGCGTGCGCGCGCGCGCGCGCGTGTGTTTGCGTGTGTGTGTGTGTGTGTGTGTGTGTGTGTGTGTGTGTGTGTGTGTGAGAGAGAGAGAGAAAGAGAGAGGAGAGAGAGAGCATAAAAGAGCGAAAGAGAAAGCCAGGATGCATTCTCACTGAGGGAACACAATCTGACTCGGAATGTAAATTGTGTGGGAGCGCAAGAGTGCGTTGTACTGGCCGGGTCATGAGAGAGAAAGAGAACACAAGAGGAACCCGTATTTATTTTGCGAGGATTGCGAGTTTGAAATCCGCTAGCTCAGTGCGAATGCAGTGGCCCGATTCTGCCCGGCGAGCATTCGTTTTGTCAGATCTGTTTGAACAAGTAGTGACAAATCAAATCAAAGCTGCGTCGCGTTAGTCGATTAAAGGTCCTCTTAGAGATTACTAGCTATCTAGAAATTAATACTCTCCGTTCCAGATTCGGGGTTTATAATTAAACTATTGTCAGCTATGTTATTACAACCGTACAGGTTGTATTGATTAATATAGCTCTTATTATCCCCCTCCCCCCGTCCCCGTCTCGGATATTAAAGTATCCGAAACATTCGTTTAAGCTCGGACTCAATTTCGTACGTATCAGTAAGTATTTGAGTATCCGGATCCAAATATCTTTACTTATACTAACACGAATTTCTAGAAATTATTGATCATTCGACGGTGAATATAAATTATTAAACTTTTTGATATGTAGTGCTGGATATAAAAGCTGACTCCAATATTTATAATTGAAATCCATTTGCTAGACATCTGATCTTTTCAAATTGAACGAGTATCCGGATACTCGGTCACTCTCGAAGCTTACAAATTTGAGTTGCGATTAAGAACGCTATTAATTAAAGAATAATAAGTTGTTTGCTGATAAGTTACGTCAACATGTTTCTCTACACGAAACACGCTTAAGGGAGCAAAAATTACGTTATAAATCACGAATTTGACTTCTTTCTCTCTTTTGCGACTGACAGAGGGAGGGATCCCTCATTCGTACGAAGTATTGTAAATTGAAGCAATAATAGTTATGACCTTTTACTCTGTAAGCACATTACACACCGAATATATTTAGGGAAAATTACAAAGGATTACATTTATACGAAGCATAAGCAAATACATACAAAAAAATATAAATATATAAATATAAATATATATATTTATTTATTAATTTATGATGTTAAGTTTGGAAAAGAAAGATGTTACGTTTTGAATACGAAAATATACTCAATGCAGTACGAATAAAATGCGTACGTTTCCGTTATAGGAATCATCGAATAGGCTTGTACTCGCGACTCGCTATAACGATTCTGTTTTACACACCGATAAAGATACGTATGCACTTATCTGTGCATGCGTTTCTCGATGTAAACGACAAAGGAAATCGTTGCGCGAATCTGCGATTACGATCCTGAGAACCTATTTGTATGTGTATTTCTTTCTTTCTTTCTTTTTTTTTTTTTAATATTTGCGCACGCCTTCAAACGCACCGCATTCACGAAATCGAACAGAATATGCAAAACTTCCTAATTGGATCCGCTTGTAAGATAACTTCGAATGATGGTAGTAGTAGTAATAGCAGTAGTAGTAGTAGTTTGCAGCATCCAGAGATTAAGTCTCGTTACTGAATCGCATTTTCCTACTACGGGTCGAGGAGCTTGAACTTTCACAATGACAGAATTTAAAGGGAGAGAAAGATACAGAAGAAGAGAGAGAGAGAGAGAGAGAGAGAGAGAGAGAGAGAGAGAAAGATTAAAGACATTTTCTTTAAATCGTCAACGTTTATTTAGTGAATCTCGAAGATGAATAGATGATAAATTTAAAAATTGAAGGATCAGAAAAGTGTACCGAGATAATATTTTCCTAATCTCATACATCACACACTATTCTCTATTCTTCCGTACGATTAATTTTTCAATAATAAATGAGTAGAGCGTTATTATCATGATGAAGAAAGGTTCGTTATGTGTGTTGTACGTGTTATTGATCCGTCGACGGCGAACTTCGCTAATAAGGAAATAGAGCGGAGTTAATTTCGTAGCTATCAAAATTGGGTATCATAAATTTCGAAAGAGATTACTAATAGTAAATATCGAAGAAACATGTCGTGGTTTGTGCGAAATGTAAGTCATCCTTCATCATAGATCGCGCATGGAAAGTTAATTTCCTTGAGATACACAGCTACATGATGTAATTCTAACAAGACCACATAGAGATCGTTCGCAAACCATCGTTCGATATGCGGATAGTATCATAAAAAATGTATGGAAACCACCATCCTCTTCCCATTCAGAATGTTCACAGTTTTCCCAGATATTCTGCAATCCCCGTCGATTCACATCGATGTTCATTCGTGCCGAACGACTGCCAAACGACCGTTTAAAAAAATGATGTTACTCAGCTGCGTGGAAAAAAGAAAAAAGAAGAGAGGGAGGAGGAAACTGGCGAAACTATATTTACGAGGGTCGTAAAAGCGTTTAACTTTAATGCGATTAGAACGAAACATTCAGGGCTTATGTTCTCATGTGCAGGCTTCTCTCGCAAGCCTTCCTTCGTCCTGAGATGCGCTTGGCGCTCTGAAAAATTCATTCCATCCCAAAGTGAAAAGCAAAAAAGAGAGAGAGAGAGAGAGAGAGAGAGAGAGAGAGAAACTTGAATGAAAATTCCCTGTTAACGTCCTTCCTATGCGATCTACTGACCTAGCGAGCTACATCATAAGTCTTTCGGTAGCCGAAATGGGTCTTCTTGGCTCGCTAAGTCTTCAAGTTTCGACGTGGAATGCGCAATCGATCGTCGTAGTTTAACTCGAAAGTCGGCAACCGACTCTACTTCTTTGATTATGCGAAGAGTTTTACGACAGACTTGCTGAGGAGCAAGGAGAACGAAATGAAGAAAGACAGATGAAGAAAGAGAGAGGAGGAAAAGTCAGTAAATTCTGGACCTTCGACTTTATTGGAATTTTAAGGCAGATCGATTTCAAACATCACAAAAACGAGCATATTGAAATATGATCTGGAGATTCATTTCTTCTCGTTGTATTTTTATAAACGCAATTATATTCTTAGATCATTTTTTTATTATCTTATGCACAATTTACTTTGAATGTCATTTAGATTTCAACAAAAATAATTCGCGTATTCAATAATTAATAATTGTGCAGTACACGAAAAATTAAGTTAATTTAATAATAATTTTCAATGAAAATAATCAAGAAGATTAAAATTCTAATTGAACATATAAGTCGCGTCTCTTTGTTTCTTTATCACTTGAAACATTAAGGAACAGGAATAGAGGAGGAAATTAAATCCGATCCAATTTACAACTTTGATTACCGACATTAGATGTTCATCTCCAACCATTTCTCTATCTCATCTCTGTGCATTTCTCTCTCTCTCTCTCTTTCTGTCTCTCTCTTTCTCTTTCTCTTTCTCACTCGCTTTCTCTCATTCAAATCGCGCGATTAAGCGTAAATCGCGAACAGGTATCTACGATACCTCTAGGCCGCTCAAGCTACAACTAAGATCCTTTCCATCGGTATTTCCATTTACGTTTGTTTCGTACAGAAATCCTGAGACTCACTTCATCACGATTATAAACTACAGTCTCTCTAAGTAATCACCGCAGATAAAATCTCCAACTTCTCCGAATAAACTGAAGAGGCTCTCTGAGCATGTACAGCAATGAAAATCGTCGGAAATGTAAGATCTGAGAAGGCGCAAGTAATTATAGGTATAAATGAGCCTATATACATATAGTAATTATACATATATAGAACCTTTAGTCTATAACAAGCAGCTCGAGTAATATATGTGACTTCACAATCATTATTTTTAACATCGCCTTTGCACGTTGTTCGCGCCTTTAATCACATCCAACGCCTATTCATTTATTCATTCATCTAACATATAGAGATAATTCAAGAATTCTCGAGGATTTGAGAGGGAAGACCACCCCTTGAGCGAGGCATGAAATATTCGATTCGAAAGTATTTTCTCTCCCCCCCCCTCTCTCTCTCTATCTATCTATCTATCTATCTCTCTTTCGGTTAGCCAAGATTCCTCGGTGGCACTTCGGCCGACTCGTTAGTCATGGTAGTTAGTCATGCTATGTGCATCTCGAGAACGACCAAGAGGAAGACGAGAGAGGCGGAGAGGCGCTTCATTCCGAGAGGGGTTAGTGGGACCAGAGTTATCCTAAGAGGGATAAAGGCCTCGGCAAGCGTCCTTCCTCGCTTCCTCCATTTCCTCTTCTCAGCCGCGAGTATCCCCCTTTTCACCCCTCGAAACCGCACTTCGGAGACTTCGATGCGTTTGAGGCGTGCCGCTGCTGCACGGTGGCTATTTTTGTATGTACATACAGCCTGTGTAACATGTCGGATGCATATAGTTGGCGTCAGAACGGTCGAAAACAACTTTTTTTCTTCGCTTCCGTAGGAAATATCTCTCTCGAGTTTATTTCCATGTAAATTAAAGAACGGTAACAGGTGTATCAGGTTGTTAAGATATTAATAAGATGATTCCAACATTCTGGCCGATAAATCACCGTACGCACTGCGCACATTCAATTTATTATAACAACCTTATTATTATCACCTTCGTGATTTATGTAGAAGTAAGCCTACGGAAAAGTTTCCT